CTCTCAAATCAAAAATGACCTGGACTCATTTAACATCTTGCCTCCACATCAATCTGGTTTCAGGAAAAAACACAGCACAACCACTGCTTCACTGAAGGTTCTTAATGACGTTGTTGAAGCACTGGATGCTAAAGATTATTGTGCTGCACTTTTCTTAGACCTGTCTAAAGATTCTGACTCTGTGGATCAGAACATCTTGTGTCATAAACTCTCAGAAATTGGTTTCTCAGAACACACCATTGGTTATTTCTCTAACTATCTTTCAGACCGGAGGCAATGTGTTCAACATAATGGTACTTCCTCCAGTTATTTAACAGTTAACAATGGTGTACCACAAGGCTCAGTCTTAGGACCCACCCTCTTTACAATCTACATACATAATGTAGGTAAAAACATCCCTAATGCATCCATACATTAATATGCTGATGACACAGTTGTTTATTGTCGAGCTAAAACTGTTGATAACGCTTTCCAGCTTTTGAAATCTGCATTCAACATCATCCAGACAGATTTGTTCCGCCTCAAACTTGTCCTAAATGCCGACAAAACCAAAGGGATGCTTTTTTCAAATAGGAAGTTGGTCCCAGCAGTTCTTCCTCTGATTTTATCCTCAAATGGTGTCCCCATTGAGTTTGTTGATTCCTATAAATATTTGGGTATCTTGGTCGACTCACATCTCTCTTTTAAGCTCCATGTGGAAAACTTGATAAAGAAACTGAAAGTTAAACTGGGTTTCTTTTTCAGAAACAGATCCTGTCTAACTCTGAATGTTAGGAAACACCTTGTATCTGTGACTTTCCTTCCCTCAATTGATTTTGGTGATATTATTTACATGAACGCTCCTACAAGAACCCTGCAGATGTTGGATGCTGCAGATGTTGGATGCTGTTTATCATGGTGCACTAAGATTCATAACTGGCTGTGATTATTGTACCATCACTGCACCCAGTATTCACTGGTTAACTGGTCACCATTAACTTCACACAGACTCTCCCACTGGTACATTTTCATCTTTAAATCACTTCTTGGTCTGCTGCCTTCATACATCTCCTCCTACATGTCTCTGTGTGAGTGCAGCTACAGCATGCGCTCTCAGGACATCATTACCTGCAGTGTTCCCTCAATGAGGACTGAACTAGACAAAAGGGCCTTCTCCTACTCCGCTCCTGTTTCCTGGAATATCTTACAAAAAGATTTGAAGCTCTCGACCATGACCTCTCTAAGTGGCTTTAAGGATCTGTTGGACTCCTGGCAGGGACCAACGCAGACACGTTCCTGTTTTTAGTTTTCTACATTCGCCTTAGAATCTAGCTGTTTTTTGTTTTTTTGTTACCTTTTCCTTTTTCCTTTTTTCCTTTCAGCCATCCTATTTGTAAAAAAAAAAAAACCTGTATTATGACTTTTTATAATTGTTTATTGTTG